TCCTAATGGTTATTGGATGGGTTTTAATGGTTATGTTTCAAATTATTCTAGAAGCTATCGAGTAGAAATAATTGTGGGTCCGAAAGTGGTTATTTTTATAGTGTTTCTTAACTTTTTTTACTCATTATTATTTACATAATTATCAGTAGTTTATTATTATTGTTGTTGTTACATTTACACATGTTTATGTGTGCATGTGTAGTTTGTCAGTTTGTTTATTATTTCCTTGTATAATTAATATATTTAGATTTTTTTGTTTATTTTATTTGAGGAGGGTTGGTTATCTTATTTGTTTAGTTTAAAGTGTTGACTTTGTCTAAAGTATTTTACATGATCTGCCTTATATATAGTGAATATATTTGCATTTTTCATGGTGGTATATTTATATTTACATATGCTCTATCTCTAATATTGAGAACTTTTACCTAAACTTTTACTTTTCCTGTTGGCATGGCCACCACACTTTCCTGATCTGACATCTGGTTATGGGGTATAATAAAGGATTGCATGTATAGCAAAAAAAAGTTAGACATTGAAGAACTCAAAGACAGAATAAAAGGTGTGATATCAAACATTCCCCATGAAATGTGTGTCAAGGCACTAAATTGTACTGTTGATCGCTGTTTTTTGTGCATTAATTGTATCGGTAAACAGGTGGAGACTGTTCAGTAAACTCTGAATAAATGATTCCTCTCATACTAGTGTTAACATAATTTTGACACACCCTATACATATATATATATATATATATATATATATATATATATATATATATATATATATATGCAAGAGATCATGGTAGGAACACTGATACATAGTTCAAAATTAAGATGGTGTGAAAATAGTACAAAGCCAATAGCTACACACCTATTGTAAGTTGTGAATTTGTCGCTAAAATCAAACCATTCTCTGGCAAGGAGGAATGATGCAACTTATGTTTACTAGAAAAAAATACATCCTCAAAAATATTGATAATTTAAATCTACTTAATAAGTGGAATGAGCTTATGTCTAGTTGTGCACATAGAAAAATGTTTTTCCTAAAACATTGTAATCCTGGTTAAATTCTTTTTCGACTTAATCATTTCCCTTTAGCCCTACAAACGTCTACTCTTTGTGCTAACAAACTGCATCTCCTGTTCAAATTTTAAATTTCAAAACATGCTACAATTTTTTTTTTTTTTTTTTTTGCATAATGGCTCATTTCTGCACCTAAATCCCAGTATTGGCTTTGTACTATTTTCACACCATCTTAATTTTGACCTATGTATCAGCGTTCCTTCCATGATCCCTTGCATATTTAAACAAAAAAAAAAAAAAAAAAGCTATATCTTGTGCCTGACGAGTTGTGTAACCAACAAAATTGAAGTTGCACACCAAACGTAAATATATGTATATTCCTTAATATATGTTTCCTGGCTCTGTCTGTCATTGAGCACGATTATGTTTACACCTCTTGGCAAAATTTGGTAATTATTTATTTGCTTACCTGTGTATACAAGCCAGCACATTTGTGTATACAGTTGCTTATATTTAGTTATTTCATTTTCCTAAACACACACACGTGTATATATATATATATATATATAAACTGGTTACAAATAATCACATTAAAATTGTACTTGCCTAGATCAGCTATAAGATTCTTTTTAATTTAATTTGTTTCACCTTTAGTTTTTTTAGGTTGTATGGAATCATAATTTTACAAAATCAAAACTACTGCATTCTTTTATTTTTAGAATTATCAAATTTGGAGCTATTTTCTTTTTATATCTTATTGAAATTATATATTAATACAAAATGATTTTTCTCTTCGTATGCAGGTTTTCCTTTTATCTGTCAATTTTTGTATATTTCGAAACAATAGTCTAAGAAAACTATCCCCCCACTTATTTTAAGTTTAGCCTGTTTGCCATTTATTCAGTTTTAGATGTTTCATTTTGAATTGTTAAATGTTTCTTTTTATCTGAGATTCGCTTTACTATCATTAAAATGTCCAGAAGAGTAGAAAGTCAATTTGAAAATTGCCCAGAGAATTTTTTAAGTTTCTTTAATTAGACTCTATGGCTAGGTAATCATAAAAATGAAAAAAGGATAATTTAATGCTTTTTGTTTTACTTTGTTTCTTCATTTATAGGATGTCATTTTATAAGCTGTTATGGAATTAATTTTATACTTCCTATTGTTATATTTCTAATATATTTGATTTCTACAACTTCAAAAGATTATTTAACGAATTAGAAATAAAACCTTCATAATAAGACAACTGGTTAAAACAAATCACCCAAATGTTTTGATACAAAAAAGCAGCAGATGTTTTATGACCTGCAGATCTTTGAGTCCAATGACCTTAGTATCCCCCATCCACCTTTTTTTTTTTTTTTAACATGAACTGAATCCATTTTACTGCTTTCATTTCATAAAGCAGGGTTTTTTTTTTGGTTTTTTTTTTGGGTTTTTTTTAAACATTAATAAAAAAATAAATAATAAAAAGTAGTGTTATTTTGTTGGCATGAATGTTAATTGTATAAAACTTGAAATTAGTGTTAGCTTCATTTACTTTTACTGTGTGGATTGGCCATGGCTTCAGAAACAAAACCCAATTATTTTAGACTATTCTAAGAGACTAGAAATGCTGCATTGGCACCAACAAGTAGCCAATAATTGATTAATGCATTTTGGCATTAAAGCTTGCAGCTTCATTGCACTGGCACTGTGCCTAAGTTTGGATCATATCCAATTGTCTCAATTTAAGTGTTAACGTCTTAGTCTTTTATCTGCAATTTTTTATTTTTACTTTAACTGTATCCTTTTTTTAAATTAGAATTTTACTAATTTCAACTCGTTTATTTATATATTACTTAAGATTTTTCATGTTCCATTTGGTTTCAACACCAGTTGACAAATAAAAATATTTTAATCATGTAACATGGCATCTTTCCTCATTATGTTTTTAAATAATTTAAAAGTTAAGACTGAGAAAAAATGTTTGAAGTGCTTGACAGGTATGAAACTTCAACATTATTCCTGCCTTTTTGCAGTCAGTTCATGGCTATGTACAACAATGTGTGACAATCAGTGATGAAAAGAATAACAAATGAAGACCATTAGAAACATGTTTTACAAGACTTGTACTTATTTACTGTAAAAATTTTGATACAGAAGAAAATTGTTTTAACTCTCCTTAAATAAGTTTCTGTATGTTTACATACTATTTCTTCATTCAAATAAACTAAATTCTGAACTAATCCTACCCTGCACTTTTAGATGTTGAAAAAATTTTCATCCCCTTTATTTAAGACTAAAGAATAATGTTTGATTTTGATTACTTGATCACAGTGATCTTTTGCATGAGATTTTTGATGTATTCAAAGTGCCTACTCCGGGAATTGTACAAATCTTTTTTCTGTTTCAGTTGGTTGCAGTTTGACCATTTTTATTTTTAAATCTCATGCAGAAAGTATTGTTTTTCCCCTCTTCAATCTTGAAATCAAACAAAAATACACCAATTTTGACTTTTTTTTTTTTTCTTAAATGCATGTTGATATGACAGCTGTCACAATACAATCATGAGCAATCTTTTTGAATAAGGTTAGTTCATGGCAACGATATAGCCTTGGGTTAGTTAAAATTAAATACTCTTACTGCTATCTAATAATAAAAACAAATTTTGGGGGTTAACTAAACACACTACATCTTACTCTATTGAAGGATATTTCTATGATGAACTATGATCTTAAAATACAACATATAACTTAAATTTTTTTTTGAATTGAACAATTTAATAACAATTCATAAGCAGTTATAAATATTTTACAAATTTCTCCTAAGTTAAATGAATCTGATCTTATGTTTAAAGAAAAAATCTATGTATCCCATGTTAAGCCTTAAAATTATTCAATTGGATTATCAAGAGAAATAAGACAAATTATTGTATAGAACATCATTTGCTCTTTTTCCTTGTTTCAGTTTGTCTAGTTGAGACATTTTCTAATTTTAGATGATATTTCATTGAAACCTGAAGCTATTTTCTTGACATAGTTTAAGGAAACATTAATATATTTAGTGATAAATTATCTTGAATTTTAGAATTATTTTGGAAAAGGCTAATGCAAACATTTAGAAATGTGTATTTTGAAAAAGAATTCTGATATATTGGTTATGCCTTATTTGATATTTTTGGAAATGAAGCAGACTTTTTGTGTGTATCATAAATATTTTATTAATCAGTTGAATCTTAATTACCCAACAAAGGATGCATTAATCAGATTAAGTATTTTGCAATGGACTTTATAAATTAAAATGACTTACTCACTTGAATCTCTCCAACTATTTCAGTTGGATTTAAAAACCTAAATATGTTCCAGATAATTTTAATTCTGGCATCACCATCCTTCAGTTTGAATAAATATGCTGATATAAGAAGGTATTGAAGCTGCTGACCAAACATCAAATTTTTTTAAGGATCTACTCTCTCAACTAATTATTATGATGAAGGGTGTTGTTTTGTATATATAAGTTGATAGCAACTGTGGTTTTCAGTAAATATATATATACTCAAAATTCTTAGTTTTCAATGGAACTTCTAAAATTCTGTTTTAAACAATTATATTACACTTAAAAAAAAAAAAAAAAGTTATCATGAAAACATTTAAACTAAAATCCTATAAGAGAAAATTTGAAATTTTTAATAAATAAAAAGAAAAAAAATCAGCAAAAGATTTTTTTCTCTTTATTCCAATCGATCCAAACATCAATATTATCAATTGACTTATGCAAGCTGAGAATATAAATATTCATGAGGTGATTATTATTTTTTCTATTATCAGACTTGCTTTAGCAACTGAACTCTTTAGTGTGCCTATGCATTTTTATTTTTTGTTTAGCAACATATTTGGATAATTTTAAACTAAATATTGATTTTGAAATTTTGACTTAAACGTGCAGGCTTTCTTAAATTTATTTATTTTTTAAAATTCTCTTTTATTATATTTTTACTAGCAATGCAACAAAATTTTGGAAATATTCAAGGTAACTTTCTCATCTATATTGTAACATTTTTGTTTGTGACTATTTTAATGATCATTTTCTATATATATACAAGTTTTTCTTTATTGTTGGTTCTAACCTTTTACTTTTATATTCCCTTTATTTTCTACTCCACCTATCCTGCTTTATGTTATGTATGCAATGATGTACTGTTTGACTTTTTGGCAGCATAATCCATGATTTTTAAAAAAAAGATTTTAAAATAAACATCTAAACATCTTGTAAAAAGTTTTGCATAAGACATATGACAAAATATTTCTTCATTCTTTTTGGAAAATTCAGTTGGATATATCTATTATTTTTGCACAATCTTGACTTGACATTTGATACTGTCAATTTAAATAAGGCATTTTTGCAATACTGGACATAATTTTATTCCCCATCCACCTTTTTGTATTTTACTTTTGACTCCTCTTTTTATATATATATATATATATATATATATATATATATATATATATATATATATATATACTCTCTCTCACACTTATTTACTTGTTCCTTACTTGATTGTATTTTTTTTTTCTCACAAGCCTTACAGAATTTGATTTTCTCTTCATTTTTTCCACCCCATTAATGTTTTGCTTTGATTGCAAACAATAACTTTTTAAAGAATGATTAACTTTAACTGTTGTGAAATATATTTTCCTTATTATTTACATTCAGACTATTATCATATTTGTTATCACTATGTTTCAGTTGTTATATCTTCTGCTCTTCTTCAGGTGTCTGCCCCTAGATTAAATTAAGACTGTTTATTTGTGAATTTGAGTTCAATCCCTGGACCAGTTAGTACAGACTTAGATTCAGTGGAAACAAAGCAAGAAATAACTGAATTGTATAAAGAAGAAAACAAAACAAAAAAAACATGATATCCCTAGATACAGATAATAGAATGAAGACACTCTATCGCCATTGATTGAATAAAAGGTTTAGTTTGAAATTCCCTGAGGGTTACCCAGCTCAAAAAATACCTGGAGTAAGCCAGAGGGAACAATGGCTGAAATGTTTTGATGATAACAAGAAAGATGAGGTTGTTAGTCCAAATGTTAATAATTCCTCATTCCAGAAATTCAGTGTACAGCCTTCAATTGACATTTGATGTTGCGAAAAAATTTTTTTTTTTTATACTGGGCCTAATTTTATTTCTCCATTTTTTATATATATATATATATATATATATATATATATATATATATATATATATATATATATATATATATTTAATATATATTAATTCTTAATGTTTAACTAAAATTTAAATTTACTAATTATTGCTCTTATTTTCTGATAATGTTGTGTATGAACATCTGTATTTATAAAAAAAAAAAATTCAAAATTCTTTTAAAAATATGTGTTTGATTTAAACTAAGCTTTTCCATTTATGAGTAGTAAATATAGTTTTTACTTAATAATATCATCTAATGGGGCTAAACTTGAAACTTAATAAATGATTCTAATTAACTTAAAAAAAAATAAATGAAATGAATTTTTACAAAAATTCATTATTCATCAAAAAAAAAAAATTTTTTTTTTCTTAACAGGATAGTGTCTTTAATATATCTTAGTCATACAAGCAATTAAAAGCTTTTCTAATAAATTATGTCTTACATGTTTTATTTTATGATTCAGAGCAGATTTTTGATAACTGGTGTTTCTGTTTTACAAAAAAAAAAGATTTAAATTCTCCAAGGAGTTCTGCTTTTAACTAATATTGAGCAGGGTAAAAATTTAATTTCTGAAAATTTCTTAATTTAAATAAGCTTTAACAGATGTTTAAAAAAAAATGTATATTTTTACCAAAATTTTCTAAAATAAAAAATCATTTCTTAAATAATTTCACTCATTTGTGAATAAGTCGTGAAAGTTTCAGTAAAAGTTTCATTTTTTTTGCAAGAATTTTTTTATCAATGTGTTTTTCATTAAAAAAAGGCATTGAAATTTTCTATACCAATCTTTGGTCCTCCTGACACAAGAAAAAAAAATTTTAACTAAAATTTCAAACATGCTGAAAAAGATTAAAAAAATATTAAATCATTTGGTCTTAATAACAAATAATTTGATGATAAAACTGTTTATAAATGTTTTTTATCAAGTTTGAGGTATTTTTTCATCATGGTATGCTCTTGTTTCAGTGAATTAGTGGAGGTACCTAGATTAATATAAGTAAGATTTGTCACTTGATTGATGTTATATTCAGCACCTCAACTCATAGACAAACCTTTTTGTAATTGTTCAGTCCACTTATCAGGTTTCAGCAATATGCACAGACATACACACTTATTTACTTGATCCTCACCTTACATAATTGTATTTTTTCCACTCCATTAACCTTTTACTTTGATTGCAACTTATAAAAAAGTTCACTATTTATTCCCTAGAGTATTTATTACTGTAGTAGTGGTGATGCTAATAATAATTTTCCTTACTTAAACATTATAGATTTATTAACAAAAGTTTTTCCTGCCTTATTTTGGTCTGTTGTAATGTTCCAAGCTTAATCAATTAATTTTATATTTTTTTGAGTTACTTCTCTCAGTTTCAAGTGAATTGAAACTTAAGATTGAACAATACAGCAGTATTAATAAAAAATCTGTTGCTAATTTTCCTGTTTCACTAATAAGATATATAATCTGTAATGTTTTCTTTTTTCTCGGTGAGTGATTACTATTTCTCTTTGTATTCAAATCATGGATTTTTGCTATATTGTGTATATTATATTTTTCATTGAGTTTTCAGAATACTGCAAGAGCTTTGAGTAATTGCTACAGTATTAAAGTAATTTTAACAAAAACTTTATAAAATATAAAAATGTTAAATTATTGAGGGCCTTTTAACATTTCTACATTGAAATATTAAATGTCTTCTATAATGATTTCTCCTAAGGACAACCATTCTTATAAAAACAATTTAGTAAAATAAATATGTGGGAAGTTTGTGAAGTGCTATTACAGTACCAAATCATTAAAATGTAGATTTTCTTTTTTCATAATGATGGGGATATTTTTTTTCTTCTTCTAAGTGGCATATTGAGAAAGTTTGATCTAAATTTGTGTACTTTGTCCTTTTGAAAAATATTGAATATTTGCCATTTAAAATGTGAATTTCTCTACTTTTTACTAACATATTTTGTAAATATTTTACTTTGTTATGCCAAACTCAAATCTAAAATACACATTATTTTTCTATTTATTTCATTTATAACATTAGTTGTGCAACTCTTTTATAACAGTTTTTTTTTGTTTTTGTTTTTTTCCAGTTACTTTTAATTTCATATTGATTATATATAATACAATTATTTTCTGATTGATTTAAATCTAATTTATGGATATTACAAGTTCTAAAATAACTGTACCTAAATGTAACCATACAATAAGTTTGTTTTTTATATATTAAAAAAAAAATGGTTCTTTCAGAATTTATATTCAGAACTGTTTTCTCAATTCATTGCAGTTGTTACACAATTCTTTAAAAACCTGCTACTGATTTATACAAAAATATTGAACTGCTAATCTTTTGGTAGCTTTTTAATTAATTTAATTAATAAATGTGTGATCTGTGTTCACTCTCGACGATACATAATACAAGTTTTGCTTTCAAACTCAGCAAACCCAAAATGTAAAGCATTAGGACAAGAAATAAATAAAATCTTGAAATTACAAGTCAATAAATTATAATAAATATCATAATTTTAGTATTGATATCAATTAGAACTTGTAATTTACAGTCATAATTTAAATTATAGAAAAGAGAGCTGTAGTTTGTATATAATCAAATACATTGCAAAATGAAAAAAATATTGTTACAGAATGTCTCCGCTTGGCAAAAAACAGCACAAAGATAATAGCAATGAATGTAATTCCAGATCCTATCATACTAGTCAGAACTTTAACAACCATAATTGAGCTGGGATAGTTTGAACCCCATGGATATGGCATCCTTACAGTGATTGATTGTCTTTTGTCTACTCTTTGATATTAAGACTGAAAAATCTACAAAACCAGCAGTTTGGTTGCAACAGCAGTAGTAAAGTCAAGAGCTCTGATGCTTTTATCTCCCAGATGCCTTTGTATGCTTATGGTTTCAGCAGGGTAACAAGTCACTGCGTAGAGCAGATGGGTAGTTGGCTGACTTGTTGACATCTGTTCTCTCTCCTTGCTTCCTCTAAGAAATGATGCCTGCTATGTGTTTTCCCAGGCACCAAAGAAATAAATTAAAAAAAATAACCTAAAGGAAATTGTTTGAAATACAGCATTGATGTCCCTCCTGAGGAGTTACTGATAGAACACTAAAATCCAGGGACTAAGCACAATGCAACAATATCCACAATAAATTTGTTGTTTGCAAGAAATACTTCTTTTCTGAAATGGATTTAATTATTTATATGTCTGTGTATAGCATCCGTCAGTCTTTGGAAAGCTTGGATCTGTGCCCAAAGAGTTATGCCTCAGCTGCTGATGGTGGTGCAGCATCTGTTATGGCTGTGCAGGCATACACAGGTGTGTGACAGTCTCAATTGCAATGAATGCATATGAAGACACTCTCCTTCAATATAGCCTTGTTGTTTTCTTTCCTTCTACCCTGCCTTTGTCTATTCAGCTCCAGCCTTCATATGGCTATTATCTCCTATAAATAATACGTAATTCTTAATTACATAACTTGCTTAATTAATTATACCTGGGCTTACAGCCATCATCATGTTGAAACACAGTTTCTTGTACAATTACTGAAGTTAAGCAATGTCAAGCCTGGTCAGTACCTAGATGGGTGACTGCTTGTGAATATCAGGTACTGTAAGCTTGGATGTGTGGGTAGTGTAATGGATAATGGCTCAGAATTGTTGATCAGAGATTTCTGTTAGGTTCATCATATTCACTTATGCACAAATATCCTTGGAGAAGGTAGGAATCCATCTCTTCTTCTTCACAGACCTGTATCATTCCACCATTATTATCTCCCCAAAAATTCTTACAATCTAAAAATATTTCCTGGTTTTAAATAACCTGCAAAGGGGTTGATAAGCCATAGAAAATGAATCGATTAGTCATTGTTCCTGACAAGTCCTTTTAAGATTTTTAAATTTATTAAGACAATCCTCCAAATTTCTTATATATAATTCCAATTAGGTAATGAATGTTTTGTCAAAAACTTTAGACCTCATCCAATAAATTTGGATAGAATTTAAAAGAATGATTTTTCAGCCCTGATGGATTAAGGATTGTATAATTTATCAGTTCTATAAAATTTTAGCAAATGATTATTTTATTAAATATTGGCATCTCTGCAATTCTATTTCTATTAGTAGTATCATTAATTAATAATAATGCAATTATCTTCAAAAGTTCTTGTAAATAAATTAATTAAATATTAATAAATCAACAAAAACTGAGCAGATGATATCTAACAATGGCTTTGAATAATCAGTTTTACATGTATTGTCTGGCTGGAGGTGTAAGTCAACTTGTGTTCCTATTATTTGGGTCAGAACAACCAATTTATTTGTTTATTTGTTAAATGCTCTAAGACAAACAAGAATTGCTAATCTCTGCTCATCTCTCTTTGCAATAGGCAACCTATTAGTGTATATGAAAATACCAAAATCAGTTTGCTAAGTAAAATTACAAAAGATTGTCTGTTCAGGTATCGTTAAGTCACAAAATACTTTCCAATCAGTTGTGGAATTCAGCCATTTTTCTATCAACTTTGTTTTCTTATTGTGTAATATCAGCTAGATATTTTGTCAGCAAAATATTTCTTATTCTGGAAATATTAAAGCAGTTCAAGTAATGTACTTCCATTTTACATTTAATTAATATTTTTAATTTCATTTAAAAATAAACTTGCCTGATGTGTGCCAGTCTCATACTTCTATATGCTTACAAATAAAAACATAACTGCTATCAATTGAAGGATAAGTGAAAGTCCTAGATGACAAGGAATTAGAATGCATAATAAAAGTGTATTTATTTGTAATACTTAGAAGTAACTGTGTATTTCTGAAAAATATTGTAAATATTTTAATTTCTTTTTTAATTCTTTGAGAATGTTTTGTGTTTGTGTCAGCAAAAATATTTTTCAATTTATTTTTCTGTTTAAGCAGTTATAGATCTTAGCCTTTAAGATGACCAAAAGCACTTCCTAAAAATAACAATATTGAATCAATATTGGCTTCTTGTTACTAGATATGCGCAAACCATATCGACATGACTCTGATATATTTGACATCAAAGACTTGGTCTCTCGAGATCCCATAACTCAGTTTGATTGCTGGTTCCAAGAGGCTTGCAAACAACCAGACATTAAGGAACCAAATGCTATAGCTTTGGCCACTGCATCTCGGTATGTTTTTGTTTTTTTTGTTTTTTTCATTGAATTTATTTACAGCATTCTTTCCAAGTTTATAGAGAGCAGATATAACCTTACTGAAAAATTAGACTAAAATTTGATTTTTAAATCTATAAATTTATTTTTTTCTCCTGGTATCATTTAATTGTAAAGCTGTCAATCATAAAAGTAAACAATTTTTACACTATTTTCATGCTAAGTCTTTTGTTTACTGTATTATAATAGATCAGTTTGCTTTTTAAAATTTTTTTTTTTTTATATATATATATATATATATATATATATATAGATACATTAAATATAGAAATGTCTAACAATAGAGGAGAGAGAAAACAAAAAGATCATCCAGTCAAGTGATGCTAACATGGAAAAGTCGGGGCGGGGGGGTAAAAAACAAAATCATTTATATTTTTAGGTTTGAGGATCTTCATTTTCAGAAATCACTTGTGTTGATGTACCTTTAAATTTAAATTTTTTTCTTCCTATTTCATTTTCATTGAGTTCTTAATTCCAAATTTGTTTGGTTTCATATGATATAAAGAATATAAATTTACTCAATAAATTTGCATATTTGAAGGTAATATGGTTGCATTATTATATGCGATTATTGCTTATTGTTTTTGTAAATCAAGTATGAATATGAAAACTGCTTATATTCTGACTTAGCTTTTGAAAATGTATATATCAGTAGTGACTTAAGTTTATATTAGTAAGTGTCCCCCACATCATTTTAGATGTTTAAGCAGGTACAAGAAAAAATGCAGCCAAGTGTAAACCAGTATTATATAATGTTGTCAGGGAAAAGATGTATAGTTTTTGTGTGACATGTTTTGTCCTTTAGGACTTCATCAGACTAAGTTTGTTTATGTTGGTGTAACAACACATGCACACAATGGGAGCTGCTGGGAGGGAATTTTAATTTTTTTTTTTTTTTTTTTTAATTTAAAATTCCCAGTGTCTCTCATTTGTGCACCTGTGTAGTCTCACTAACATAAACAAACCTAGTCTGATGAAGTCCTAAACGATGAAACATGTCACATAAAAACTTTTCCCACTTTCCTCCAAAATTGTTCTTGATATATAAAAATTGATATATTGTTATCTGATAATGTTGTCAGTATGCACTCAAGCACAATTGTTTTGCTGACTTGTTCATATCTTATTTGTATCAATAACTGTTTTCATACACTTTAAATGTCATGTTCATTTTAAAAAAAAAAAAAACAGTTTACGTTAAGTTTGTTATGTGATTCAAAGCTGCATTAGATTAAAATAGTAAGTTTACAATATTTTTTTTTCTTTTAAACAATTAAACACACCAAAGCCAAAAATGGTTAAACAAATAGATATCTAGATGTTTCTGTTATGAAATGTGATTTCTTTTGTATTTTCTTAGTTCAGTGGTAGTTGTTAATTTTGCATATCATATTATGCTCCTCTCCTTACTGCTTGGGCACTTACATAGTTTCTGTCTTAGTTATGCTAATTAGGCAGTCATTTATATATCACTACAGTTTCTATTATATTTTAATTTCATGTAGAAAATATATTAAATGAACTTTAGAGAATTCTTTTGGATCCCTCTTCAGCTATTATTAAAGTAGAGATTTTGTATTACTTATTAACAGTTACTGTTATTTTGTTTAGATAATGACTATTAGAATATGTAATGTGAGAGGATCAATGAATCCTTTCCTTAGAAAAGATAAATGAAAACACAGTGTATGAAATAAATATTGAATAGTAGACGTTTCCTCGTTATTCTATGCATTATTCAGATTATCTTTACATTTGCTTGTCTTTTTTCTTCTCTCTGTATAAATATATCAATGTTTCAACTGCCTGCATCTTCTTTGTTTGTTACATTCAGTGTCCTTTAAATATCACTCAGTGAGTATTTGCCTTACAAAAGTTGAATATATCATCTGAAATGTTAAGATTAAAAAAAAAAAAATCAGATGAATGTCTCAATCAAAAATTGATAAAAATGCTTCATCTCAGAACCTCAGATAACAACCCTGTTCATAGTTGACTTGCATTTAACCAGCTTTAATGCCAGAACAATATGATTGGGAAATAGGACCTAAATCACAAAATCTTCATCTGTATGTGTTTGTGTCTGTAATTTAGTTTAATAATTACAAATAATTTTAATGCAATTTTGAAATGTAAGAGCACATTTCTATTATTTTAAAGTGAAAATATCTTTCATAATTGTTAGATAATTGCATGCTTAGATTTTCTTCTGAAGTTTATTTTTTATTTGGCTTCAACTCTTAGTTCATGTGCTGTTAAATATTTATTGGAAAACCATTTTTTGCATCAGACAACCCAATCATTATTACATATGAAATTATTGAAAGTATTGCTAAAATTATTTTTATTTAAAACAAAACAAAGAATAAATTTAGTTTTCACACTAAAAAAGCCAGTGTTAAAAAAAGCCTTCAGCAAATTGCATGCTTTCAACAATCTTTGCTAAAAAGATATCTACTTTCTATAGTATGACCTTGGAAAATGAAGATCATTTTTAAAATCTATTGTTTTCAAGTTAACTAATTATGAAATAAATATTTGGTTACTGCCTTATATAGGGTCAATCCTTGAATACTTTTAGCTTGTTCTTAAATGTTATTTTATAGAAATTCTTTATAGAGAGGCAGTTATTGATTGCCAAAAGTTGATGAGTATGATCAGGTATTTGTTTGATATATTTTTTTAACGTTTTCACTTGCAATGTAATTTTAAAAAGTGTTAATCTGAAAAAATAAAACATGACCAATTAATATTTTTTTATTTGTTTTATTTTTTAACATTTAACTTAATAAATCCACAACCAGTTTAAAGCTTTTTTTTCTAAAACTGTTGCTAAAAAATAGTTTATCAGCTTCCAATTTGCTTTCTATTTTTATATATTTTACTGTCACAATTTTTTTTCTTTTAAATGATGCTCTTGAGCTAAATATTATTTTAAGACTTAATGATATTTAAACTACATATAGTTATCAGACATTTTCAAGAGCCTCTTTATGAATTTGGTGCCTGTTGGAATTGATGCATAAAGAGCTTACTGTTATTAAGATTTAAAGAAAAAATACTTATCTTTGGTAATTTACAGCTTAAGAACATTAACCTTGTTCAAGTTTTAGGCTAATTACCAACATGTTTGTGCTACTGAGCCTCACCAACACTGTACAGGTAATGGTAAGCTGAATCTCTCAGCTGCCATTTCACTCTTCAGCTTTTGCACTAAATTTGTCTTTATCCTGTTTATTCAGTTCCAGTTTCTCTACAAACTTGCTATTAAATATTTTCCTCATTTTATGTTTGTGTTTACCCCCCCTCCTCAAATTGGCTTAAAAAGTGGTGGGGGAGCTTTGTTTTAAAAATATATTTTATCTGACTGGTGCATATAAATTGTAATCAATAAATTTGTCCTTGAACTCTGTTTTTTTTGTTTTTGTTTTTTTTTGTTTTTTTTTTTTTAATGCAATCTCATTAAAATCCAGGGAGTTTGAAGTAATTGACTTTTCTTGCTCTTTTATCTATCAATAATTATTGTTCATTGACTATTTCCCCAGCTCCTTCAAGGAACATTTCAGTATAGCTTCACAAATGATCATTTGAAATCTGATTATAAACTTTAAAACTCTTTCACTTGAGAAAAATCAGATATCAATAAAGCATGATTCAAAATAGCAGCTACAATGAGGTGATTTGTTTAAAGAAATTGTCTTTTCATTTTGCTTTGGCTTCAGCATTTGAACCTTTTTTAAAGTTTGTCAATTAAAAAAACAAATATCATCTTGAGATTTTTTTTTTTTTAAATCAATTTTGATGGAAGACTTTAAATTTTTTTTATTAATTTGATTTAAGAATCTTCAGCAAGAATCACACTTTTAGGACAAGATTAGTAAACATTTCTTTTGTGCAAAAAACCTGTCCTCTATATTTTCTGTTTACAAATCAAAAATAAATTCATGTTATTTCTAAAATAGTAAAGATTTTTTTCCCTAAAAGTTACTAACTTTTGTGTATTGCTATCATAGAATACAAATGTAACATTTAAAATATAGTATATAAGCAAAATTTTGGTTTACTTTGAGATATTTTAAAAAAATGTTGACAGAAGAATGGAGAGCAGTAATACATGCATAAACTGTAATCCTTTGGGAGGGGGCAGATAGTTCATTCCACCTCATTGTCAGCATGATTGTATAATTCTGGTATTGGGAAAAATGGCACAGGCTAAAAATTTTAATGTTGGATATAAAATGCTATTAATAGAGATGGGGGAAAAAAAATACAGTCAATGTTAAAATTGAACATAAAGACTTTCTTTTTCTGTTGAAAGATTAGGTTAAAAAAAAAAAAAAGGTATGTCTTCTGTGACATGCATTTGATGCTAAATTTACAGAATTTGAAGGTGAGGAAATGCAATGCAGAAAATGAAATGGTTTTGAGTTTTCCTTGATTTATAATTTGGTGCTGGCCAAATTATAAATTTCATATTCATTCAGTTTTGGTTGTACTACTCATAATTCTCTTATTAAAACAAAATCAATGATCTATGAGGAAAGATGGTTTGGAGAATTTAATACTCACTAGACCCCTTGAAAGTTAGATGGGGAAACAGCAAGTTTGTGGAAATGAATAACAGAACAGCGAGTAGAAAGGATAATAAAAAAAAACATTAAGAGCTACAAAGGATAGGAAGTTGTGCAGTTGCCATGATCAGTCACTGCACATAGATGATTTATCAACAAAATTTTTTACAATTATTAGCAAAGTAGAATAGTCTTTTTTTTTTTTTTTTTTTTTTTTTTTTTTCCAGCCATTCTTTTATTTATCTAATATGATTATAATAAGTATTTATACCATACAAATTTATCTGTCTTAATTAAAATAGCTTTTGCGATCATCTTTAACTTTTGAGGACTCATTTTCTCTCATTTGATCAATATTTTTATGTAGCAATTTGTTAAACATTAAAT